AATTTTAAGAAAGTTGATCATACAATGTTTACTCAAAGCTTAACAAAATGCAATTTTTATTGTGATACAGTAGTCAATATAGTTTGACAAAACAATTAACATAAAATAAACCAGTGGATGTGAAAATGTCTCAAATGCATTTTCTACTACATTCATAATAACATAATACTGATTTAATTAAACCCAGGCATTATTAGGTAGGCTGCTGTCCAATCAGGAATTATGTGGGAGATTCAGTGTTTAAACGTGCGCAATCATTACTGGAAATCCATTTGGGAGTCAACTGATCATAAATAAGATTAATTTTCACGTTGAATGAGTGAACAAGCCAGTAATTAGTTTAAAGGCAGTTCAGGGGCAATAATCAGCATAAATTAGTGCACCGTGGAGGTTTCCTGCATGGTGCGTTAAACAGCATTTTAGGTGGGGGGAAAATATCAGATGATCCGTAATTCAGAAATATTACTGTGTAGTGTATGTAATGCATCCTAACTAATATATGAGTCAGACAAGACCCTATAAGATTATACTGTAACGAAAACAATACTATAGTAATTTAGTTGTAATATTGTTTTTGAACCATAATATAGAGTATATGTTGAAATCCTGGTATTGTATAGAATGCCTACACTGTAAAAACAGATATGATCAATTAGTCAAGACAGCATATGTTTTAGTTCATTGTAACTTATTAATCTAAGTTAATCAAGTTCTCGCTTATTTTTATAAGTTATGCAAGCTGTTTTAAGTCAGTTTAACATGGGGGTGCCTAAACTTGTTCCTGGAAGACCGGTGTTCTGCATATTTTAGCTCCAACCCCAATTAAACACACCTAAATCAGCTTAAGTCTGACTGGAATCTTCCAGACAGGTGTGGTAAAAGAGTTTGCACCTAAACTATGCAGGACAACGGCAATCCAGGACTGAGTTTGGGCACCCCTGGTTTACTATAATAGAAGTTCAGTGGACTCATAAGGTTAATTTGATTCAGCTTAAAAATGTGAGACAACCAGGTTTATCTTACAGTGTAGGAAATGTCTTGAATGCCTGATGGTTTTAGGCAAAGTTTGAGATGCTGCACACTTTTCCAAGGCATTCTATACAATTTTTAGGCAGGATATAGAATTGCAAGTATCATCTAGGCAAAGTGACAGAAGAGCAAAAGCCTTTATTGATCATTGTGTATTTTAAAGTGGAGGGAATACTAAACAAAGCATTTGATGTTCTTACCGGAAAAAACAATAACAGCAGAACTGAGATTTAAGTATTTGTTGCAATATTGTCTGTGATGTGGTAGTGGAACCTTGTACCAACAATATGCTGTCTTACAATAACTTTCAGCACCGACGTGCTTCATCAAAAAGCAACCCAAGCGCCACCGCGAATATCAGTGGTTGGAAAAATGGCAGGAATAGGTTAGTTACATACTTTGCCACATGGCGTCTCAGCATTCTATTGACCTTATTCTTCAATTCGGAAGTAAGCTCATTTTTGTGATTGTTTTGAACTTCAGATTCAGGTGCCTGTGGGAGAAATGGCTAGGAATAATAAATGCAGAAAACGGTCAAACTACTTGCTCTATAAAGATCCGTTTGCATGACTATACAGACAAAGAAGAAGAAATAATATCAAAGAATAAGAAAATTTCAGTTTGCAAGCAGTTTTAGCAGCATATCAAGTTGTTTTATTGTTTAAAAATGAATGGAAGTGATTAAGACCGAAAGTCGCGAGCCAAAAAGAATCAAATGGCTGCGCCCACTCGTACGTGAAGAGTAAGGTGAATAAAATTGCGGATTTCACACATTGCCGGTTTACATTTATTGTACACTGAAAAAAAGGATGTCTGCAAAATTATTGCAAATAATTTATGTGTTGAAATTAAGCAACTAATTAAATTTAGTGCTGTTTAACTTAATTGCTTTGCTTTATATGAGCCCAAGTAAATTGTTGACAACCACTTAACTTAAAAAAAAAATGATCCAGGAATCTTCCTTGAATCATTATATAACACTTTTCTAATTAATGCTCCAGCCTAATAGTATTAACTATAGTGAACTAATAAAGTGGAATAAATACTGTAGTATACTTTAGGTTTTATTACAGCAAACTTATGTATTGTAGTATAATACACCATAGTGTTGAAAATTACAGTAGTGGCTAATTTGTTTATGTACATTACAATATAAAATGACATTTGCTCTTTGTTTAATGCACTTTTATGTCTTTCTTTTCTTTTTCATTCTTTTAAAACCTGTTTTAATTCGTATTTAATCATTTGTATTCTTTGTTTTTATTTCTTATACTTGTTTTTTTCACTAGTATGTCTTTTTTTCTTTTTCATTGCTTTAAAACCTGTTGAAACACCCTTTTAATCAGTTTTATCAGTTTCAGTCATTTTTATTCTTTGCTGTTTTTATTTCTCATACTTGTTTCTTTTATTCTTGTTTATGTAAAGCAATTTGAATTACTATTGTTTATGAAATGTGCTATATAAATAAACTTGCCTTGCCTTAATTATTTAAAGTGAGCTGAAACAACACTATCATTTAGTTTTTTGGGGCGTACAATTTAATTGTTTTATGTTCTGTCCACTTAAATTTGTAAAAAAGTGAATTGAATTCCTTCATGTTGTTCTAAAACAAATCAATTGTGTTGAATCCAGCATGTTTTATCATAGAAATTATATAATTACCACAGCAGATTTAATACATAACGTACTTTACTATAATACGGTTCAAAAACACTACTGTATTTACTATACATTACTAAAGTATTTTTTTCATGTGGGTAGACATTATGCTGTGTGTTCATGTACAGTCATGTCTGTATAACAGAATTTCAAATATCTCAGCCGTTGAGGAGGAGAGCGAAACAGATTAGGTCCAAATCCCCTGGCTGAGCCCATTTTTGAGTCACACCTCAGTGGAATCACTTACTATGACGTCCGAGACATTGACGTCCATAACAGATACAGCAATGCAAATTGAATAAGTGGAAGTGGAGAGTTGGATGTGGTTTTAAAACATCACTGGCGATACGCATGGGTTTGATGTCAGTCACGTTGGGTGATTCACAGCACTGGAAGATGAATAATGTGTTGAAATGACAGTGTTACATCTCTATCTCGGGTGGACTGAAGCAGAGACATTTCAGAAATCATTTTTGCTCATTTCGCATGTATGACAGCAGTAAGTCTCAAATGGTTTTGCTTCAGTCGCTTTGTAATATTTGCGTTTGGCTTTCTATCTCTGCTGTCCATCAGAAAAAGCTTGCAGTTCATTTATTTGGTCATGACCACCACTGAAGCACTATTGTGCCATATACTACAGAAGCTGTAAGGATGTGTGGGTTAGTGTGATTTCTTCAATTATGACATGCTCCTGGATTAACATCTGTGTTGATCCTGGAACAACATTCCAGTTAGCCAATCAGAATTGAAATATACAGTTTACAATTTATGTTAAGGTTAGGCTTACAGTGTATGTGCTACTACATGATTGTTATCCAACTATTATTCCCCTCTGATTTTGAAAATAATTTACAGTTATGGTTAGGTTTAGGGGTAGGAATAGGTATGGATGCATTTTACAACAAAAATGACGTTCCAGGATCAACATTTTTGTTAATCCAGGATCGCATCCTGCTTGGCAAAATCACATCAGGATGTGTGATATATATTGTCTTCAATAATAATGTAGTTGTTTTAACTGTGTGATTCTGTTGTAGGCTTGAGATGATGACTGGTTTCAAGGTTTACCGTGGTTTGGAAAAGTCAAGGTTTTAAAACCACTACAGTTTTCTGTCATACTGTTCCTGAGGTATTTGTAATGTTTTTTTGGTGTGTGTGTGTTTTTTGTGTTATAAAGAAATCTGTGTCATCGAAACTAATGAAGACAGCAGTCAATGATTTGTGACATGTTCCCCCAATGTTAACTGTTCCAAAATAATATAAATGTTTCCTAAAATAAAATACATTGTTCAATGGGAAATTTTTTTACCCAGACATTTAAAAAGAACTTATTTTGGAGCAGTAATCACAATACCGTGATACCATGAAATCGTTATCACACGTCAGCAACTTATACCGGCACATGCCTATTCTGTAGTGAATCTGTGTTTAAAAAGAGTCAAATGCCATGTGATTCAATGAATCACTCATTAATACAGAGAATTGCTGCCGCCTGCTGCTGGCTTTAGTGTTGTGTTTGTTTATGCATGGATCAGTGTTCTGTCTATTTGTCCTACTGTACCTTGTTAGATTGTTCTACCTCCCATTCAAAAAGTAGGTAGCACATTTTAATGACATAATATGCTACCCATCAGATTTTGCTACCAGTGTAAATTTTAATGTAGTAGTAGTAGTATGATATGAAGCTGTAATATCGCTTTAACCTACACTGAAAAAAATATTCAAAGATGATTCCTTGGACTTATTAATTCTTTTTAAGGTACAGTTAAAGTCAGAATTATTGAACCCCCTGAGTTATTAGCCCCCTGTTTATTTTTTCCCCAATTTCTGTTTAACAGAGATAATATTTTTTTTAAACACATTTCTAAACATAATAGTTTTTATAACTCATTTCTAATAACTGCTTTATTTTATCTTTGCCATGATGACAGGAAAAATAAATTGTAAAATATTATTTAAAGACACTTCTATAAAGCTTAAAGTGACATTTAAAGGCTTAACTAGGTTAACTAGGCAGGTTAGGGTAATTAGGTAAGTTATTGTATAACGATAGTTTGTTCTGTAGACTATCGAAAAAAAAATCCTTAAAGGGGCTAATAATATTGACTATACAATGGTTTTAAAAAATTAAAAACTGCTTTTATTCTAACTGAAATAAAACAAATAAGACTTTCTCCAGAACAAAAAAAATATATATATATATCAGAAATACAGTGAAAATTTCCTTGCTCTGTTAAACATAATTTGGGAAATATAAAAAAAAAAAAAAAAAAAAAAAAAGGGGGGGGGTAATATTTCTGACTTCAACTGTAAGTGGTTGTAAACAATTTTTTGGGCTAACTTTAAACAAACAATTAAGTTGAATGTTACTAAATTTAATTTGTTTAAATTCAACGCCAATAGATTATTTGCAAAAATTTTGCAGACATCATTTCTCTAACCCCAACCTCAGAACCATTAAATACATTGTTGGTAGCATAATCTGATGGGTAGGATCAAATGTCAGAACATCGCCCAATGGTACCAGCACAAAAAATGTCCCAAAATTTTGACGTGAATTTCTTGGCAATATCACACACCTCTACTGCTTAGCCAAGCAAACATGCACAAAGTTTAAAAAAAGGATAAAGGTCAGTGTTCGGCAGGGACCACCTCTAGGAGGATCTGTAGTGATCTGTTCATAGAATCTGGAAAATATAAGAGAAATGCACATTAATTTGCCATCTTTGCTAATTAGCATATGCTATGTGATTAGATATGGAATATATTTCCATATATTCAGTAATTTCTGCATAGTGAGGACTTTTTATTCATTTATAGAGAATGTGTTTCTGAGAGTTTAACACCTTGGTGATATAATAAAAAGTAGTTTTCCATGACTTGCATCATTATAATAATCATTAAGGTGTAACGAAAGGAAAAAAAAAAAAAACTTTCACATATATTCAGAAAGTTTGTGCTGCATTTTTGTAACCTCTGACCTGAGAATTTCTGGAACCATTTGGGTTTTCTTTTGGAGTGGATGAATATGTAGTATGCAGGGATGCCTGTGAGAGAGATGGCGAAGCCGATCCCGGTATTAATTGGATCCGAATATAGAGACAGGAACACCATAAAGAAGCAGGTGAAGGAAAACACTGCAGGAATGAAAATGGGGACCTGAAAAGGAGAAAAACACAGAGATAAAGAGGAGCTTCATTTCAGATTTTAGACTTGAAATATAATGAGTAGATGACTTTTTTGGTGGTTACTGTGTACGCTTAAATATTACATTTCTTACATTCCCTGTTAAACAATTTTGGAAACATTTACAAAATAAAATTAAATTTAAAGTGGGGCTAATTATTCTGACTTCAACTGTATATATATGAAGTCAGTATTATTAGCACCCCCCCTTTGAATTGTTTTTCTTTTTTTTTTAAATATTTTCCAAATGATGTTTGACAGAGCAAGGAAATTTTCACAGTATGTCTGATAATATTTTTTTCTTCTGGAGAAAGTCTTATTTGTTTTATTTTGGCTAAAATAAAATAAGTTTTTAATGTTTTAAACACAATTTTAAGGACAAAATTATTAGCCCCTTTAAGCTATATATTTTTTAACAAACCATCATTATACAATAACTTGCCTAATTACCCCAACCTGTCTAGTTAACCTATTTAACCTGGTTAAGCCTTTAAATGTCACTTTAAACTGTATAGAAGTGTCTTGAAAATCTCTAGTAAAATATTATTTACTGTCATCATGACAAAGATAAAATAAATCAGTTATTAAAAATGAGTTATTAAAACTATTATGTTTAGAAATGTTTTGAAAAAAATCTGCTCTCCGTTAAACAGAAATTGGAGAAAAATTAAACAAGGGAAGCTAATAACTCAGCTAAAATCATTTAACATTAATGCTTTTCACACATTTCAACAAAACAAACATGATAATATGATTTTTAAAACGGTATAAAACAACTGTTTAATGCCAGCTGTTATGCCAGATGACCCAATCAGGACTCGAACCAGCTACCTTCTTAAATTTAAATAACAGAAAAAAATAATAATAACACTTTAGCGACACAATGGCTCAGTGCTAACCACTGAGCCACCGTGTTGCCAAAGTGTTGTTATTTATTATTTTTTTTGTTATTTAGATTCATAGGTTAGCCTGTTAACATGCAGGCTCATACAGACCTGCAACATACAGGCCTCATTACGGTCTGTTCAGTGTAAATGACACTCAGATAATTTTGCAATGTCATGAGAATGACTTCATATCTTATAAACTTAATGTTTCACAACCACCATCACCAATACTATCTGCTAAATCTTCAATTTCCTATCTCTGTGGCTGTATTATTGATTCATTTCCATGTTTACAGACCCTTTGATCAGCCAAAACTTTTTCAATAAAACAAATCAAATGCACAAGCCATGCAGATCAGTTTGTCCATGTTGGCTTCACAGTATATTATACACTTTTCATCCAGAGTAACTTCCTGTTGACCAATCCTAGAGAAAGCCTCCCTGGAGCAACCTAAGATTAAGTGGGCACAATAACAAAGTGACAGAGTACAATTGAGATCTCAATAGCTTTTCAACTCATGGCTCACCTCTGCTAACCTACACCACAGATTTAAATCTGCCGTGCTTTCTTATCCACTATATATTTAGTCGTTGTATTACTTTAGAGGAGTATTAGATATGAATTAATAGGCTGGCAGCACAGAAAGGCCTGTCACCTTAAAAGGTCGTGGCAGATCAGGGCGTGTGAAGCGGAGGTAGATGAGGCCGACCACTGCCACCCCGATGAACAGCCAGCGCAGGAAACTCATGAAGTTCAGCAGGCTGTAGATATCCCCTAAGAAGAGGATCAGTAGTGTGATCGGATACTGAAAGAAGCACAAGGCAAAATAACTGCATGATTAATAAATACATGTGTTAATGTTCATAATGTGCACAGTTGAAGTAAAACATTTTAGGCCTCAAATATTTTTCAATTGATGTTTAACAGAGCAAGGAAACTTTCACAGTATTTCCTACAATGTTTTTTTTTCTGAAGAAAGTCTCATTTGGTTTATTTCAGCAGGAATAAAAGCAGTTATTAATTCTGTTAATGTCAATATTATAAGCCTCCTTTTTTCAGTTGGCTACAAAACAAGCCATCATTATACAATAATTTGACTAATTACTGAAACTTCCCTAATTAACCTAGTTAAACCTTTAAATTGCACTTTAAGCTTAATATTAGTATCTTGAAAAATATTTAGTCAAATATGATGTGCTGTAATCATGACAAAAATAAAATAAATCAGTGATTAGAGATAATTTATTAAAACAATTACAAAAAAATCTTGTTTCCGTTTAACAGAAATTGGCAAAAAAATAAATAAATACAGGCGGACTAATAATTCAGGAGGACTAATAATTTAGATTTTAACTGTATTTTTGTTTATGGGTAATTCTTATGGCCACTTTCATGTCCTTTGATCATATATCAATATTGATCATAAAAAAAAATTATATATATATATATATATATATATATATATATATATATATATATATATATATATATATATATATATATATATATAATTTTGTTCAAATTCCCCTTTCTTTGTCAAACTAACAATAAAACCGACTTTAAAAATGTACTACCTTTCTATTATATATTTTTTTCATAATATTCAACATCATTTTAGGTGTCAAAATCACTGTTTTCACCTTGTTGCATACCCCGAGTTTTAAAATTCTACAATAAAAATAAATTTTTTTATTATTATTTATCTGGTATCTATTAATGTCTCTCAATTAAGCACTAGAAAAATGATTTAAATATCCTACTGTTATTAATGTGAGACTGTTATCAATATTATTTTTTATACAAAATATAACTTTCGCACAGTATTAGTGTCATTTCCACCACAACACTGTAATGTCGCTTTAAAAGGTTTGTGTGAAAGATTATTTAGGTGGTTTCTATGAAAATGAATAGTGCCATCTGAGAACATGTTCAAGATGGAGGGAATTTAAATCTTTATCAACAACACATGAAGAAAAATCAAGGTAAATATTGCTTGATAAGGAAATACATTTATTCTACCTCATTTCCAAACATGTACCTTCAAAGATGTTTTTAAAAAACAAACAAAATTACGATAAATAAGAGTGTTTTGTATATGAAAGGTTAGCATCAATTCAAAGCTAATCAGTGAAGCTATTTTTCATTTTTTCACAATAAACTGTTGAAATGTCATTTCCACCATTGTCATTTTCATCACCACACACATTTTTGAAAAAAATATTTTAAAAGTTTTTATCACACATTAAAAGTGTATTCATAATGTATAAGTTCATGCTCTATTTAATATACAAATTCAGTTTATTTATTTTCTAATAAGCTCTTAACCAAATTAATTGTGACAGGTGTACAATTCAGCATACAACTAATTTATTTCATTGACAAATGTATAATTATTATATATATATTTTTGGAAAGATTGGATAAACTAGATACTAAAATGACCTTAGACAATGTTTGACTGCCGTTATTTATTTCATTTTGAAATAAGCTTTATATTGAGATGTGGTGGAATTGACATTTGTTCAGTTCACGATGGAAAAGATTTTAAATGAACAATTTTTCTTCTTATCTAAGTTTGTCCTTTTACAAATCTTAAAACTAGACAAATTGTTTAAACTTATGAGGCATGTTACATTAATTTTGAACAAGTCTATTTACTCAACTTCACAAGGCTAAAAGTGCCCGTAGTTGAAGAATGGCCCTTATACCGATGAATACCATTAATTTATTTTTAATATTTAAAATAAACAAGTACAGTTCATGTTTTTGCATGAGAAATTAATAAATAAATTCCCTTGATCATTAGACTTGCAGTAGAAAAACATCCTGTAAAGTTTCACAATTCAAAACTTTCTTGTTAGTCTAACAACTAAAATTGACGGCAATCTATCAAAATAACTCACAGCCTACTTCTTTATCACTGCCTGTTTATCTCCACCCACAAAAGTAAATATTGAAATAGTGAAACTACGCATAAACCAGGGCTGCACAATAAATCGAAATGAAATGGCGATTTAGCAAACACTCCAGAAAGTAAGACTCATGCGATCAGTAGTAAACGTCCTCCAGAGACTAGAGGGCGCTCTTGTGCTGAAACTGCAAATAAGCCACAAAGAAGAGACCCAGGAAATCAAACCAAGGATTTAAATGCTTTTATGTGATTCCTAATCACACCACTATGGTATCATCTCAATGAAGGATTTATTTCAGACACTCAACTGATTTTATGTAAGTAAAAATGTTGTGGAATTTTACATACATTTAGATGTAGCAGCAACACAGGGCTGCAGTTTACTGAAAAGCAACACAAATCGCAGCATGGTTATTAATGATTTTAGAATCAATGATTAAATTGTCTGAATTTTTGGTAACACTTTATTTTGATGGTCCATTTGAGTATAAGTTGACTGTCTGCTTAATATCTGTTGATCTGCTCCTTCAACAGACTATTAACTGACCATACAAGTTTTTGCAAGTGCATGTAAAGTTATACTAACCTTAACCCCAACCTAACAGTCTTATAATCTAAAGAGAATGAGTTGGCATGTAGATCCAATGTAACTTAAATGCAACAAACGGACCATCAAAATAAAGTGTGATCGAATTTTCTATGCAGATTGTCTGTGTGGTAAAAGCTGCTGCATCTTAAAACAGGTACTTTACTCGACTATGAGTATTTAGATTTTTTAGGAGCCGTTGTTGTTGGCATCATACTGCCTCATAGTGATCATTCAACCAAAACAATACCATCAAACGCTTGTTAAAGTTTATTTTTGAGGTTTCGCAAACAAATTAAGGCTGAAGCACTTATTTCCAATGGGCCTGTTTTGAAAAAGCCACTTCATGATTCCTTAATAGTGCCTAATTTAGTTTTGCAGGTCTTCAATGATAGCTTTACAAACATTTCAACCTTTTAGAAAATGCTGGTTCAAGTATGCACCTTCTTTAACCTCTCCATTATGAAAGCCTTTGCTCAGAATGGTCAGAAGACCTAGTCTGTTGTGATTTAGACTATTTCTTACAGTGCATGTTAGAAAAGAAATGGCCCTTAAGAGTGTTCGAGGGCAAGAGAAGACATTGTTCCATGCAACCAATGAAGACTATAGTCCTATGCAGGGGCGGACTGGCCATCGGACAGGCTGGGCAGTTTCCCGCTGGGCCGACGTACTTTTTGGGCTGGGCTGATCATCTTCTTATGATCTGATCAGCCCATAAAACACTTAGCAGACTGTTGTTTTACCTAATTAATTGACATAAGACCGGCCCATGTGACATAATCTACAGCCATTTGTTTTTGTTTTTTTCTTTATTGACACTGGGCTGACCCAATCACAAACTTCCATTTTGGGCTCTGTGTAAGCATGCAAAGTCGGTGTGTTTTTGTCAAAATAGTTGAGAGTCACACCTGTTTCTTGCCCCACGCGTGTGTATGGAGAGCAGAAGCAGTGAACAGGCGTTTGCTTTTGCGTCTGCAGCGCGCAGCGGATCAGCAACTGTTAAACACTTCAATATATGTCTGTCTATTTATTCTAGTTATCTATCTGTCTATATAAATTTTCTTTTTTAAGGTTTTCATCTGCATCAATTAAGGCCAAGGGCAACTTCCTCTTATGCTGTTTCCTTAACCTGCATGTCTTTATTTTACAAATTACTGTATATATATATATATATATATATATATATATATATATATATATATATATATATATATATATATATATATATATATATATATATTCTAAAGAACTGTATGTGTTTCAAGCTCGTTTCATGGAGTGTCATTCATGTATTTTAGGATGCACTCGGTCAGAAGACAATTGCAATTTTGTTTTTGATTGTCAGCATGATGTAGGCTTATCGTTACAATAATATTTATACAATATGGTTATAATAATATTTATACATGACCAAACTAGTGTGCAAATTAAGCAAAACTAATACTTTTTTTTTTTTTTACATTTAAGGCTCATAAACACCAACGTTTTTCCGGGTTCAAGCCAAAGCGATTTACACTGGCGTCGAGCTGAAGAGTATGCAAAATCTCTCCCTGATGTTAGATGGCGCTACACAACTTTAACCATCTGACACCCCGCTTATAACAAAGAGGGCGTATAACAGATAAGGAAGAGAGAAAGGCTGCGTCCGAAACCGTATACTTCCATACTATACAGTACTCTAAAATCAGTATGCGAGCCAAGTAGTATGTCTGAATTCATAGAATTCGAAAATCAGTATGCAAGAAGTACCTGGATGACTTACTACTTCCAGCGAGATTCTGAAGTGCGCATCCCATGCATGCTGCGCTATCCCATGATGCTCGCATTGACAGTTTTGAGCATGAGCGTCTCCGAGTGCTGTTTACTGTAACTTCAGCAGCTCAAAAGTGCCAATCTGATTGGAGGAGAAGGTTTAGACGTGGCGCATCAAAACAAAAAAACAAGCATGAGGCGTTTCTTTAAAAATGATGCTTATACGCCTGGCGTTTTGCGCGTTGGTGTGCACGATTACATTGGCGCCCTTTATTTAGTCACAAGGTGTTAAACATCAATAGAAAATGCAAGCAAAAAGCGTCCCGGTGTGCATAATTGGGGCCTTTAGCTTTGTAGTTTGGGCCCAGACAAATATTTGTTGCATTTTTAAATTGTTTAAGTTTATTTGATTGACTATGTACAATCTTTAATATTAACATTTGATGTTTCATTGTTAGTTTTTGTTATGTTCATTATTTAATATAGGCTCCCTCAAAACACACAGGCATACCAAAGATGGGCCTCCAGTCTGGAGTATAAATCTACTATAATAATGATGGAAGTTTTTAATTTGTCAACTCTCATTATTACCTATATATGGCTTTAGTGCTTTTATAGAATGAGAGTTGGTAAACATATTCAAGGACGTGCACAGATGGGTATCATTTTGATTGTATGTAGTGGGCCGCTCTGTCCTAAAATGTCAGGGCTGATTTTTTTGTCCCGGTCCTGCCCCGGTTCTATGTAGGTTTGTGCTCAAAGCTATGAAAGACTGTAAATAATGACATCTTCTTTCAGACAATTCAGAATCTTGGAGACAATAACTCTACTTACAGAGCACTTTGATATTCGCAGACCTTTTATTGTTCACAAACAGCTGCTAAACATTGCTTGAAGTCATTTCTGACAAGAGCATAATAGGGGTAAGTAGCAAATAAGTAGGACATATTAATGTACACATTTTCTTTTTAATTTTTGGATTTCTCAAGATTTTCAAATAATTTATTTTGAAGCTTTGAAATGTATGTATAGAAACTGGATGCAATTATAATAATGTTTTGTAGTATCACTGAGCACTGATACTTGAATCCCTGAATGTGTGGACAGAAAGGAAGCAGCAAATGGTTTTGTTCAGCTGAATAGGTATATCGGTACAGGTGACCATTGAGAGGTACGTGTGTGTGTGTATGTGTGTGTGTCTATGACTCACCAGGACAATCACAGCAGGTAATGGCGTGTGTCGGCGTATGTGAATCATAGAGAGAACTTCAGGAAGCTGACCTTCTCGAGAGGCCACGAAGAACATTCTGTGGAAGAAAAACACAATGTTAAAACATCCAATGCAGACTACAAAAAGACCTACAATATAGTCGATATTTTGAAACCTTGAAGGATATTCATTGATGCTTAAAGCTAAAAGGGTGTAAAAGTCTAAACCACTGAACTGTTTCATCAATTATAACCAATGATAAAAGATATATTTTTTTAAAAACTGACAGAGAATTTTAAATGCAAGTAAAGGGTTTGCTTTAGTGTTTCAAATGTCAAACTGTGGAGAAAGGAAATTGCATACTTGTTCTGAATAACTGAAGTATAAAGATTTCATTCATTTTCTTTAAGCTTAGTCTCTTATTTATCAGGGTTTGCCAAAGAGGAATGAATCGCCGACTATTCCAGCATATGTTTCACGCAGCGGATGCCCTTTCAGCTGCAACCCAATACAGGGAAACATTCATACACTCTCATATTCACACATGCACCCATACACTAGGGCCAGTTTAGTTCATCCAAATCACCTATACCGCATGTCTTTGGACTGTATGTGAGAGAAATCGAAGTACCCAAAGGAAACCCACAAGAACATGGGGAGAAAATGCAAACTCCACACAGAAATGCCAACTGGCCCGACTCGAATCAGTGACCTTCTTGCTGTGAGGCCACAGTGCTAACCACTGAGCCATCGTGTCGCCCAAAATGAAGATTTAAATTGCATAAATTACAATTTAATTAGTCATTGGGGATGCTCTGTGATCCTTACATGGAATATTATAGTTTGTCATGAATTGATTTGTGTTCTAAATATGCAAGACAAGATTTGTTTTTGTATATAATCTATTGTTACATTAAATGACATTTTTCGTGGGTGTCTTTTGCAAATCATGCTACAAAAGATGCTCATGTTTTAGTCAAAAAGAAAAAAATAATAATGATGAATAATAAACTAGGAACATTTAAAATGGATAGTTCACTCAAAAAAGACCATTCTGTGATCATTTAATCACACTTTACTTCTTTCAAACCTTTATGAGTTTCTTTCTTCTGTAAAACACGAAAGAAGATAAATTTAAGGATGTTGGAAACCTGTAACCATTTACTTCCATAGTATTTGTTTTTCCTACTATGGAAATCAATGGCTACAGGTTTTCAGCGTTCTTCAAAATATCGTTTGGGTTCAACAGAATAAAGACACTCATATAATGTAGGTTTGACACTATTGAAACTACTTGAGGGTGATTAAATGGTTATTTCTTTTTCTTTTTAATATATAAAATATATATATATATATATATATATATATATATATATATATATTAGATATATATATATATATATATATTATCCTTAATACTGTTTCTGTTTTTAAAAATTAAATAAATAATCCATTCTGAAGTAATGTTGATTGATTTTTAAACAGCTTTCACAGCACATGGTGTATAATTTGTATGAATCGGCTTATGAACTATTTATGGTTTGGTTTAGAGCAGTGTTTCTCAACCACTTTTCAGGAGGACCACCAAAACTGCATGTTTTGGATGTCTTCTTTGTCTGTCAAACATATTACAGGTCTTTCAGTCTCTGCTAATGAGCTGATAATCAGAATTGGGTGTGTTTGGTTAAGGAGACATGGAAATGTGCACAGCTGGTGGTTCCCCTGGAACGTGGTTGAGAAACACTGGTTTAGAGCGATGGTCTTAAACTCTATTTCCGGAGGGCAACAGCTCGGCACAGTTTAGCTTCAACCACCTCCAACTCACACCTGCTGAATAGGCTTTATAGTTTGAAAATCTTGATTGGTTGGATCAGTTGTTTGATTAGGTTTGCAGCAAAACTGTGCAGAGCTGCGGCTGTCGAGGAATCAAGTTTGATACCTATGGTTTCGAGGATGGACAATTTTTAACCAGCTATCATGCAGATAAATACATTTTTCACAATTTTTACCCTAAATCAGACACAAAATGTATTAATATTGCTTCCTGGTACTGTGTTTCTGTGTAGAGTTTGCATGTTCTCCCCATGTTTGCGTGGGTTTCCTCCACAAGTCCAAAGACATGTGCTATAGGTGAATTGGCTAAATTATCTGCAGTGTATGGGTGTTTCCCAGTAATGGGTTGCAGCTAGAAGAACATCTGCTCTGTAAAACATATGCTGGATAAGTTAGTGGTTTATTCTATAGTGTCCCCTGATTAATAAAGGGTCTAAGCTGAAAAGAAAATGAATGAACGAATGCTTCCTGGTTATCATTTCATTGACCTTAGAAATCAGACAGACTAAGGCTTAAAACTGAGACACACACCTTGAGATGGCAAAGAGACATCCATTCATGGACCCAAAGCAAGACAGAGCTACAAAAACAGGAACAGCGTATGAGAAGTTTCCCATCAACTTCTCTGCAAAGGTCTGTTGGGTAGAGTGAAAAAAGAGATGGAAATAAACAAAAATAACATTGATTTTCAATTTTGAGACTTGTTGGTGTTTGTGAATAATCATTGCAGTGAAAAGACTTTAAATTTGTCCATAAGAGCGAGCTTAGAGACGCACGCAAAGTGCCATAGATGAATGCATTACAGACGTCTAACAAGATGAGAAAGCTTTTAGTATTTCAGAGCCTAGCAGGAGATCTCTGCACATGGATCCTGCTGCTGTCAGTTATTTGTGAGAGATATATGATTACTCCAGCAGAGAAACAGACAGGCATTTAGAGCCACTGGCTTTATGTAATCACATTTACTTTGCTGTGGAGGAAGGTGTCGACTGTTACACTCACTTCTGCAAATAGCTTGAACTCATTTATAAAGCCAGTATCCTTTTCTATCTCTCTCTCTTTTAAATGATCCAGTTAGTGCTGCTACACGAAAAACCATTAGGATCTTGGATTGTGCTGCTACCATTGTTAATGAAGAAGTCTAAAGACAGGGAATGACCTACCACAGCAACAGCGTTAGAGGCTAACAGCTCATCTGCTGACATCACTGTATAATACGCCACGTTTGTCAGTGTGTAACAGATCATTACTATCACCATGGAGATGCAGATGGCAAGAGGCACCGTCCTGGGGAACGGAAATTAACACTTAAGTCATCACCACCGTTTGATTTTCAATGCAAGAAACAGCTGAATTAAACCATCAAACCATTTCCGCTGAAGCCATTTAGTGTAATACCCAATCACTAACCTCTCAGGATTCTCCACCTCCTCAGTCACGAAATTCAAGTAAAACCTGCAAGGGGCAAAAAAAAACAGAAAATGTCTTCAAAGATTTTATGGGCATTATGAGATTTGTGTGGAATTAGAAGGTGGGCTCACCAGCCAGCATAAGCATACATCCCCGAGTAGAAAGCCAGAGGAAGTCCTGTCAATTGTGCTGTGTTGACTTCAAATGCATTCTCAAAGTTTTTGGTCTCCCCTGTAAACATTGTTAAACTATCAGTAGCATAGTAGGCTCAGTGTTCTCTCTAATTTTATTGTGTCCTGACCCAAATTCTTTGATGAACGTTTTATAATTTCATCATTTTATCTTTAGTAAAATTATAAATGTAGTAAAATGTAGTCACAAATGAGACCATGAAAGAAATTACCAGACTTCTATAACTCTTGCAATGGCCATTGGAATCATTCTGATCATTCAAGAATACCAACTTTTGCACACATCTTGTTTACATTTAAGGCTTCTATTGAGATTTGTGAATTAAGCTTTGAATGCTGTCATTGTATTTTATGAAGTCATTACCCTAAAAATATGTTATATATATATATATATATATATATATATATGTAACGGAGTTAAAATAAGGGTTAAATTCATGGTTCAATTGGGAACACTTACCATTGGTTTTTACCTGCAATAGCGTCCATCACAGTAGGGGGCGTTGCTACGTAATTCACCAGCAGTTCTGAGAAGCCTCTCTGCTGGTAAGCTGCTTTGGTGATCGCTGGTTAATGAGTTATTAATTATCAGGCATTTGTGAAACGTTTAAACTCTGTTTATTTCACTTTAAGACACTGATATCACCAGAGCTGCAAACCAACTAAATCTTTGGTGCTGTGTTTGTCCCAGGTATGTTTAATTACTATTTTGTGATGTTCTGTGTTAGCCGTAGCACATATGCTACAAATTTCACGTGCTAGAATTATGTATTTATTCTGTTCTGTCGTTCCTTTTCTTAAAAAAGTGTTGATTATTGGTCACATAAGCTTACTGTTTATTTTCACTAAAGTTTGCTGTATTGAAATAGTGATTTGGATGAGAGATGAATAGAGGCAGTTTTATTTAAATTTCATGTATGTTTTATTTACATTTATAACCACTATACATCACAATGTATAAGTTTAGACAAAATGTAATGTACCAGCAGTTCTGAGAAGCCTCTCTGCTGACACTGATATCACCAGAGCTGCAAACCAACTAAATCTTTGGTGCTGTGTTTGTCCCAGGACAATAAAAGAAGTTTAAGTGACCACACCTACCTGACTCGCAGTATTCTTCAGCATCCCAGCGCCTACACACAGTCACATTGGTGCCGTGACTCGTTGTTTCTTCAATCAACATGGCGTCTGAAGCGGCCGAGGATTCACCTTAAAGTTCCATTGGGAGTCAGGTGGACTGTTTTGCTCAAGAACTGTGATCATTTATTTGAAAAGTCGAAATTTTATGTACTCAGTGACTGCATTTATCAGATTTTACTATTATGGACAATTTTTCTATTTTTATCAGCTGCATATTTGTGGATTTTGATGTTTTTCTATTGATTTTGAGTTAAGATTTTTGATCAGTCATTCACAATGAGCAATATTGATGGTTTTCATACACCTGTATGTCGAAGTAAAGGTAGAGGATGGGGTTTGTTAAAAGTGCCACAGTCTTTACAGGTCAGTGAGCCTAATGTACAGCACAATGCACATGCAAATACAGAAAATGATTTACCAAATTTAGATATGTTGGATTGTGAGGGCCTACCTAATAGTCATGTGTCAAATGCTTCAATGGAGCAACAGGGCGTGTTTTCATCTACCCCATTTCCTAACTCACAGCCTCCGAATGTAGTCGCAGCAATGTCTGACATAATTAGTCAAGTTGGTCAGCAAATTGCTGATAGTATAGTGACTAGATTAAACCAAACACATTCAGTTGAGACACAGCCAGTGATTGATTCCCCAAAACATGTGACTACAGAGAATACGAGCTCACAAATGCTGGACTTGTTACAAAGCCAGATGTCTTTTTCCAGAAATGTGAAAGAACCTCCAAGCTTCAGAGGTGAAATGTCTGACACTGTTGACTTAAATGAGTGGATAGATATCGTCAGGGACTACATTAAGCGGAACAATCTGAGGAAAGAACAGCAAGCTGAGGAGATTATGGTCCATCTGAGAGGCAAAGCAAGAGATGTGGTTAAGTTTGGAATAAGGAACAGTGATGTAAACATTATGCATAACCCTGATGCAATCTTTAGTATTCTCAGGAAACATTTTGAAGCTGCTCCCTGCTCTCCTCTACCGCTGGCAGATTTCTATACCACACTGCCTGGACCAGATGAGGGTGCTTATGAGTACTGGTTGAGGTTAAACCGTGCAGTTGATGTTGCTGCTGATCGCCTAAAGGAACAGGGAAAAGTGCTGGATTGTCCAGGAACTGAGGTAACACGCATGTTCATTAGACATTGTCCTTGTAAAGAGCTTGCCATCACTTTTCGATCTAAAACGATGGATCAATGGACTGTACAAGAAGTTCATAATATTCTTAATGAATATCACTCTGAAACCAGTCTTGTCGCTGCAGTCAGAAATACAGCATCCATTAAAATTCCTGTTAACAGAACTGAAGTGGAACTCCCAACAGCAGCACTTCCACCTACCTCTAATGTTCAGCAGTCCAGTTCCTTGGAAGTTTCTGCATTAGAGCGAGTCATGAATTTACTGGAAAAAGTCCTGTTGAAAGAAGCCAACAGCAATGAGCCAAGTCGACGATCAAAGCCAAATGTGAGTTTACCCCGAATAAAAGGTTTGAACGACCTACCATGCACTGTCTGTTTAAGTCCTGATCACTCCGGCCTCACACACTGTCGGGAAAAAAAGCTGTGTTTTCAGTGTCACTCACCTGACCATTCCCGCCTTGGTTGTCCTGAGAGAGTAAAATCTCTGTCATCTCATGGGCCGGGAAACTAGCAGATCTACACTCAGGGGAGGATGGTGTAGATCATAAAAAAATTCCTCCCAATCAGTGTTGTATGAGTGACCCGGTCTCAGTTTATAATCTTACTAATTCTGTTGAGCCTGCAGGAAAAATTATAATTTATCAGAACACGCACAAAGTACAGAAAATTGATAGTCTGTTTTACACACCTGCTACGATATGGAGTGACCTTCAACTGAAAGCTATGATTGACAGTGGCTCCATGGCATGTACACTGAGCGAAACTGCTGAACATCAGCTGTTGCAGCACAAACCCAACTTACAAAAACTCCCTACCAACGATGTTGTCATTATCGGTTGTGGCGGACAACGTGTCATCCCAAAAGCAATGTATGAACTTGAACTTACAGTTTATGCCTGTACAATGGTTGTTCCAGTTTTAGTTGTCCCAGGCCAAACTGATGATTTAATTCTGGGTAGCAATGCTATCAAATGGCTAATTCAAAAAATGAAGGAAACAGATGGATACTGGAGACTTGTGTCCAGCCCAACTAACCCTGATGATGCTGAATGTCACCAGTTTCTGTCCCTGCTTTCAAATGTTGAACGCTGGAAGGGAGGAGACATGCCAGACAAGGTGGGCACAGCAAAGTTAAGGGAGAAAATAACTCTACAACCAAATCATGAACATCTGGCTTGGGCTCAGCTTCCTGTATCAACCACCGTTTCTAAAGGGAGCACAGTTATCGTTGAACCAACCCTATCTAAATGCCGTCCAAGAAATGTTATCATAGGGAGAGTCATCACACCTATGTGGGGCAGTAGATGGGTGCCATTCAAAATAATTAATCCAACAGAGAAAGTGATCATCCTTAAGAAGAACACTAAAATCGTGGATGTTTTCACTTGTATAGCTGTTGAAGAGTTGTCTGTACCCGAGTCCATTAAGTGCAATGTTCAGTCTGCTGAGAGTCCCATAGTCCATGTGCATTCCAGTGAGGAGAGAACTGCTGTGCTGGATAAGTTGGGATTGAAAGATCTAAATCTGGAAGCTTGTGAAGTATCTGATGAGTGGAAGGACAGACTTCTGAATCTCATTGAGAAATATGAGTCAACATTTTCACGTAGTAAAATGGACTGTGGAGAGGCCACTGACTTTGTCCACAAAATTCATCTGGTCGACGAAAAGCCATTTAGACTCCCTTATCGCCGTGTGGCTCCTTGCTACTATGATAAGCTGCGTACTGTCTTAAGTGAAATGGAATTAAAGGGCATTATAAGGAAGTCTCAGAGTGAATATGCATCTCCACTGGTTTTAGTATGGAAAAAGGATGGTGACCTCCGTATTTGTACTGATTTCAGGTGGCTGAATGCAAAGACCGTAAAGGATGCCCACCCATTACCACACCAGTCGGATGCACTCGCAGCTCTGGGAGGTAATGTTTTCTTTTCTACCATGGACTTGACCTCTGGCTTCTATAATGTTCCTTTGTTTGAGGAACATAAGAAGTACACGGCTTTCTCGTCTCCTTTTGGCCTCCATGAGTATAACCGTTTGCCTCAGGGCCTGACTAACAGTCCAGCAACATTCATGAGGATGATGATGTCCATTTTCGGTGATGAAAACTTCTCTAGCCTCCTTTGTTACTTGGACGATTTGATGGTTTTTGCTCCAAATGAGCATATAGCCCTAGACAGACTAGAACTTGTCTTTTCACGCTTGTCTAGGCACAATTTGAAACTAGCGCCTAAAAAGTGCAAGTTCCTAAGAAGGTCCGTAAAATTCTTGGGACACGTCGTCACTGAGAATGGTGTTCAGACTGACTCTGAAAAGGTGAAAGTAATCAGTGATATCCAAATTGTTGATCTTATGGAAGCAGATGGTATAACTCCTTCTCAAAAGAAAATCAGGTCTTTCTTGGGCATGATTTTATACTATCAGCATTTCATACAGGACTGTTCTGCTAAAGCAAAACCTCTTTTTAATCTCCTATCAAATCAGGCTCAAAATAAAGCTCGCAGGAAGTCTGGACGTTTGAGGAAGTCACTCAACGTAGTTAAGCTTTCACATGAGGACTGGACTAGTGAATGCAACACAGCTTTTGAAACTTTAAAGCAGGACCTACTTCACAGCGTTACTCTTGCACACCCTGATTTCAGCCATCCCTTCATTCTCTCTGTTGACGCTTCATTTGATGGAATAGGAGCTGTGTTGTCCCAAGTGCCACCTGGTGAGAAAATTGCACGTCCAGTTGCTTTTGCAAGTAAAACAC